GTGAGGGGGGTGAGGAGGAGGAGGAGGAGGGAGGGAGGCAGCCAGCTGAGGGGAGATGATTTGGGATACCAAGTAAGTGGGCAGAGCTAAAAACGTTAAAATTATGCGGGGGTGCTGCTTTGACTAATTAGAGACTGACCTACAACACAGATCCTCCATATGTGCAAGGCAGAAAAACTGTAGAGGTCTGAAGGGTGAAGTTTGGAGACTCTCAAAAGACACATTCAAAAAAGGATGGTCAAAATTTAAGCATGGAGGCCAAGACATCCTGAGCTGTGTGGGTCAAGCTCCAAAAATACTTTATCCTACATTTCCCACAATGCAATGCAACAGCAAGTCTTCATTGGCCATCCTTGCCAAGTGCATGCTGCACTTGAAAATGTGTTGATCGCAGGCATTTCCAACTGAAAAATTTTATTATCCTTAATATTTATATGTAAACAATAATCTAGCCTGTTGCCAAGCTTACTTGTTTGCATAGCCAACCTAGTTAGCAAACCAACTCACCGACCCTGCAGTAGCTCATAAGGATTTCGTTCAGTGTTTCTGAGGATTTTGTTCAATTGTACCAACTTCAATTTGGAAAAGTGGCCTAGCTCAGAAGGAGAAAAGAAGGACAGAAGAATAGGCCTATTTCACAACATGGCAACCGTGACTGGAAGTAGGGAATCCCTAGTAATGCTCACTGCTTTCATATGTGCCGCAGTGATCTTTTGCTGTTAGAACTGTTACTATGGAGCCTGGGCAGTGCATTTTTGATTGGTGCATTTGCTGTGATTGGTTGATTCCAGGGTTATATCCTACTTGGCAAAATCATGTAGTGCTGTAAGTGCTCACCACAGATTGCTGCCTCTGTTATAGACAGTTTGGTCTGTAAAATATCACAAAAGATACTGAGAAATCGCAATTTCCTAAAGCCCAAGCTGATGACGTCTAGCGTCTTGTTTGTGTCCGCTAAAGAGTCCGATCTTTTACCCAAGTGTAAGTAGCAACACCACAGTGTAGAAATACTTTGTTAAAAGTAACAGTCCTGCATTCAAATTGTTACTTTAAAGTCCAAAAGTGTTAGCGTCTAAATGTGCTTTAGTACAAACAATAAAAGTAATTATACAGAGTGGCCCATTTCAGTAATAGATATGATTGGTTTGTAATTATTGATAGATTAATGTAAATATCACTTCAAAGTTGCAGCTGGTAAAAGTGTAACTCATTTTGATTACTTAATATATAACTACACATCAAGTTTTAAATGTTGGTAATATTGTATTAATAATCTGAATGTGTAAAGTAACTTGTAACTTAAGTTATTAAATACTGTAAATATAATAAAAAATGCCTCTAAAATGTGGTGGAGTAGAAGTATAAAGTAATATAAAATGGCATTACTCAAGTCAAGTACAAGTCCCTCAAACCTGTACTGAAGCACTGTACTTAAGTGCATTCACAGTTTAGCTGTTTGGATAAGTGAATGTTTGGTATTTGTGCTTGAAAAAATTCATTATCAAAATAGTTGCAATTTTCTGTCGACTATCAACTAACTGCTTCAACACTACCCTGAGCACCACCTCCAGCATCCACCTTCTCTGTCATAAAGGACACATAATCTGAGCACCACTCTTAAAGGGACAGTTCACCCCAAGATCAGTGAATCTTGCCTGTAGTGCTTTTAATCAGTCTAGACTGTTTTGGTGTGAGCTGCCGAGTGTTGGAGATGTCGGCCTTAGAGATGTCTGCCTTGGAACAATTAAAATTTATTTATAAAGCTCTATATCACAAATCACAATTTGCCTCAGAGGGCTTTACAGCACACGACACCCCTTTGTCTTTGGACCCTCACACCAGATAAGGAAAAACTCCCCCAAAAAACCCTTTCACAGAGAAAAAAATGGCAGAAACCTCAGAAAGAGCAACTGAGGAGGATCCCTCTTCCAGGTTGGGCAGATGTGCAATGGATGTTGTGTGTACAGAACAGATCAACTAGAGCTCACTAGATGGTACTCAGCTTGTGGTGCTCAAAGTGCCTAAAAATACATCAGAAAATCTCAACAGCAATGTCTCTTTACAAAAATCATGACGTGGTTACTCAAGACCTTGTGAGCAGTTTCATGTAGGAACTGTTTAGTTTCTACCAAAACACATACACCCACCAACTTACTCACCGCAGAGAAAGAAGTGTGCATCTACTCATGGACAAGAGACTCATGTTTGTGACAGTGCAAGAAAATTAATGGTGTCCTACTCGGCTGAGCTGGAACATTAGCTAGCTCTAAGGTGCTAGGTGAGCTAGCAGCAGATGCACGATTCCTTCTGCACATTGATTCAGCTGGTGGGTGTAGTTGATAGAAATAGTTCTTCCTAATAGAAACATTGCTGTTGAGTTATTTAAATTTTGTGTGTGTGTGTGCTTTGAGCACCACAAGCTGAGTGCCATCTAATTCCATTATATTGAAGAGAAGGCAGACATCTCTACAGCTGATATTTCCAGCACTGTGCAACTTACACCAAAACAATCTAGACTGATAAATAGCACCACTATTAGGTACGAGGAGAAATATGTATTTTTAATTTGGGGGTAAACTGTCCCTGTGATCTTACCTTACAACAAGTGGATCTAGATAGCTGGTTGGCATGAACAATAGAGCAAACTGCCAGCTCAAACTCTATCTGTATATATATTTATACTGTCCTTCCTCACACGCTCAACTCCACACTGATCCTGAGGCCTGAACAACTTGTGCTGCATCAATATCTCCAAGTTTAACGTCTTTTTTCTTCCCTCTGTTATGAGTCATGCAACCTCTCTGAGGCTCGGCCTGTTTGCTGGAAGAAAAACCCTGATATTTCTGACTATATGCTGCTGCACTGGGAAATCTAAATCTCAGGCATATGAGCATAAGTCGACATCGATCACTGTGATATTCTGAGAATTTCAATTTTATGAACGAGCCTCCGACGTTTGTCTGAACAGATTAATTCCATAAAGGCTTCAAAAAAATAGTATAGCTTTATTCTGCTTTGTTGACAGCCAGGTATTGAGTTGGGGGAAAAAAGTCATATACAAAGAATTCAGTACTTTTGTAAAGTTATTACCATTTCATTATGCAAATACCATAACTTCAATAATTACTAGTGAAAATTAAGTGCAAATATAAAAAGATGCATCAATATACTCACCCTGGCTTGTAAATGTTCATGGACTTCACTCATGTCAAATTAACATACAGTGGACTTTAAATTATAGCCAAAGCTTTATCAGTTCTGCCGAGAAGACATACATTTTGTACAATCAACCAGTCTCATCACATTTTTTTTTTGGCAAGGCTCTCAGTTGTTCGTCAAGTCTACTTCCCAAATCTGCATGAAAACACACAGACTGTGCATCGAAATGTAACTTAAGTGACATTCAGTCTTAATTCTATTTGAATAGCGGGGTCTAGCAGAAACACAAACCAGTACAGATTATTTTTACTCACACACAAACAGCCCGAAGAGAGAAACAAAAGCTCTTCCAATTATTTTTCAGTGCAAAAAAAATGTTCAATTGTGAAAGTATTAAGGTGTTAAAAAATGCTGAAACCATCATTTCATTGACATACATTAATAATAGTGCTTTATGTATTCTGTAGACATATTAAATATCAGCCTTAGTCATTAGTATCTAAAGAGGATGAGTCTGGTAATGTTCTAGATTTCTCTTTTTGTCAACAAATCCCACATAAAAAGACCAAAACAATTAATTCATATCACTCACATATACTGTCTGTATATTAAAACACATCAATGAGCCGCAGTGTTTCTGGCTGATGCATTCCTTCCATTAAATAAACACTGTAGTTCATCTACAGTTGATCCCACATGAACTGTCCTGCTGCTGTACATACTCTCAAAACCCCAGCTACAAATACTGACAGAAAATCAATATTTACTCCAGATTAAGTAACATTTGAAAAATACTAGTCACCTGCTGTGCAATTATTTAACTGAAAAACATATGACCTATTTTTATAGATAAGAAGTTTGATAAGAACCAGTGCGCTGGGAGCTGAGAGCCACAAACAGGTCAGCCATAACTGAATACCAGGAATTTGATTATACAGTTTAAGTATATACAGGAGGCCAGTTGAGAACTATGCCCATATGGAGAGTTAAGGAATTGAGGACTAATAAACGTGTCCTTATCTTACAGTTAATATTACTAATTACCTGATAATGTATAGACTAATACTGGTACAGTTAACAGCTTGAGTTCCACAACATTCCTGTTTTAATGTGCTATGTATCTATACGTGTTAGGCAATTCATTGTCTTCCAAACAGGCTGCTTGTCCTTCTTTTAAGGATTACATTGATTGTAAGGAACAAAACATTTTCTGGCAACAAGCATTCTAAACTTCAGTTGGTGCCCACAAAACGTTGAAGGGGACCCCTTTGAAAATGGCCATGCCAGTTGTTCCCTCACCAAAATGTATCCTAAATTTGCAGCGTTATTTAGCCCCTTTTAGCAGGATTTATACTTCTGCGTCAAATCGAAGCCGTACCTACAGCATAGGTTCTGCGTCAACGTAGAGCCTACACTGTAGCCTGACATGCACCTCCCCAGAAATGCAGACCTAATTTCCCTCAGTGGAAAAAAAAAGCTGTTATTTACTTAAATTTCACGGACAGGAAACAATAAACTGTGAAGACAATAAAGCCTGCACAAAATAGCATTTTAGTCTTGGTTGTGATTTATCCTGTCTTCATATGAGCAGAGGAAATCTCCGATACTAGGCTAATTTATACAATGTAATAATAACATAATAACGTTAGCATGTTAAATTAGTTTGGAAAATGTGTTTAGTATAAGACAGTTGTTTTGTCAGTGAACCTTGTGAGTTGTAATGGAGTCAAATTTTGTTACGTTACCTTTGTTAAATGTTGCTGTTGTCCCTGGCTTCATACAGATAGAGGAAATGTCCGCTAGCTGCTAAGCTAATTTATACAATGTAAAATGCCAGAGGCTCATGCTAATAATGTTAGCTTGTTGTATTTGTGGGGAAAATGTGTCCAGATAAAGACAAGAGCTTTGTCTGTGAATGCTACAAGTTATTGTGAAGCCAACTTTGTGTACTTGCATTTGAAATTGTCTCTATTAAGCCATGTTTAATGTGTGTTTTGAACAACTAAGCTTTACAGCGCTTCACAGAAACCCTACAGCCGACTAGCTGTTTGGAGGTGTAACTGCAGAGTGACACAGACACCACCGAACAAGTATAAATGCTCACAACAACACAGGCCACGTGCGTAGGCTCTGACGCAAAAGTATAAATCCCGCTTTAGGCTGTCTTGTTTCACAGAATAACCCTGCCTTTATGCTAGCTTAAAAAATGAGCATGCCACAGCCTCTTCAAGGCAGTAATGTTGGCCGACAGTTATTTTTGCTAGGAGGCCAACAATTGTATCAGGGTGGCCATGGACCCCACTGGCTCCCCCATGGGAGCACTACTGCAAGTAAGCTAATATTGCTAGCATGTTTACTGTTGTGGCGTGTTGAGTCTCTAATAGATGTTTGTCTTTTTCGTGGGATTTGTTGACAAAAACAAAAATACAGAATATCACTAGCCCTCTCCTTTAATATTGTCTGATGGTCGTGTGGAAACTGTCACATCCAGTCTCACATTTAGCGAGTTAATTAATTCATATACTCCTTCAAAGTGAAAAGAATTCATATCTAAACATCAAATATAGTAGAAATAAGGCCCAGGAAGTCTTTTTAAGTACTCTGTCCCTATATTACATTTCATTTAACCTCAAATTAATCTATTTTCTCCTATCATCCAGTTTATTCATGTACTCCCCACATTTTGGTCTGAGCTCGCAGGGTTTGATTCCATATCAATATCCTCCAACTCCTTCGCGTTTGTCTGTTCATCCACACCTTTCTCAGTGCTCGTCGCTGACCCATTTGTTGCTGGCACATTTGTTGCCAGCACATTTGTCTGCGACGTTTCTTCCTCTTCCTTTTTATCTGGCACTTGATTAAAATCAGTCCTTGGGATTTTCTCCTCCCTTCCAGAGGAAAGAGAAGGTGAATGTTTTGAAGTCTTAGGGGGGGTTTGCGCTGATGGGCTCGTTTGACCGGTGGTTTTATTAGTACCAGCTTTCTCCTCCATCTGCCCACTGGCGGCGTCCCCAGCAGAGCCATTGCTTGGCAGCACCTTGTTATCTTCTCTCTTCTTCTTCGGTGGTTTTTCAGTGTCTATGTCCCCATCTGTTTGCATAATGTTGTCTGGTTCCTTGGCGGTATCCTTTGAGTCATTGGTCAATGTGTCCTCTTTGTCCACACAAGGCTCAGTTTTTGCCGTCACAGACTCAGGACTGGGCCACTGATCCATTTCATCAACATCACCTGTAGAGTCATTTCCATTCCCCAAAATTTCATTATTAGGCTCAGCCTCTGCGTTTCCATTCCCGACGGTCTCCACTTCTGGTTTTGGCTCAGGTGACGCCTCAGACTGTTTATTTTTGTCTTTACTTGCGGTTTTATCAGTTCCTTTCTGTGCCTTTGTAACATTATCCAGTCCTCCTTCTTTCTGTTGCACAACTGCTTCCCCATCTTTGCTTTTACTCCGTGAATACGCTTCATCTTTTCCATCTCCGTTCCCGACAGCATCAGATCTTTTCTCTGCCTTCCTGAATTGTTTCTGAATCTTTCTGGGACACCACACAAACTTGTCCTTTGGCTCAAAGTGATGATATGCAAAGCGAATGAGCTCCTGACGCTTCTGCTTGTCCAGGACAGCAAACAAAAAATAGTCAAGCACGCTGCGTTTGACACTGCTGAGGGTCTTCTTGACTAGAGTTTCTTCCAGAAAGAAGCGCACAAGTGGGGCTTGGTAGTGCTCAAAGCCCAGCTCTCCGAGGCTCTTCAGGATGCGAGTGATGCGCAGGTTGTTGTGCATATTCCTGCAAGAGATCAAACAGTTGAAACTGAAATTACAAACTGAAAAATACAAATCTCCAGTTCTGCTTATATGAGGAACTGTGGATACTCACCGCTCCAGGTTTCCAAATCGCTCCTTCCAATTATCAGCTCGTTTCACTTCACCCGTCTCTTTGTTGACCAAACGCATGCCATAGAAGCCCAACATGAGTTCATAGGACTCAACTAGTCTCTTTTTGGCATCCTCATTCTTCTTGAAGGCCTGGTGAGCATAGACAGTGGAGGCAAAAAAATATATAAACTAAATGTAGGGCAACTTTTATGATCACATCTAACAGTTAAAAGGGTCAAAATGTAAATAAATACATGTACAATACTTTCAACATGTTGAGTGTCTAACAGGTAGGGCTGCCCCCTAACAGTCAACCAAACGTAAGTCGACAAAATAAACAAAAAACAAGGTGAAACTCTATTAGGAGCTGTTCCTTGTCAAAATAAATCAAAACCTATATGACTGGACCATGTGGGAATTTAATTTGAAAGGACATACATATGAAGTGTCCACTCTCAGCAGTCATACAGGAGTCAGGTTAATTTCCAGGGCTGGTACCTGTGGTTATTCCACAGGCTAGTTAATAACATGTCGGGCAGGAAATCCAAAGTGTGGTATCATTTTGAGAAGGTGAAGGACTAACCCAAGGTTATATGTAAACTCATCTTCATTGGTTGACTATAAACATGACATATCATCTGAAACATGGAAGTAGCTACATGCCCATTAGCCCATAGCGTCATTAATAGGCGGCTCGCTCAGTGTGTGACGTGCACTTGTAGATAAAATATAGGTCTATATTAATGAAGGTTCATTAGTACGGTTTGTATTTCTCTGTAATGTAGCACAGTGTTAACAATGTTACTGATACTATTCTTTCTCACACCTTCAACTCAAACCATTGTGTTGCCCCGCTTAAAATATATTATTTAATAATTAAATTAATATCATAAACATGCAGCCGACTAGTCGACTAATGGCCCTAAATGATGACTATTGATCGACTAGGAAAATTCTTAGTTAGGGGGCAGCCGCTCTTGGTACAGTTATGGGCTTTAAAAGGGAAAGTAAGTGTTTATCTTTGTGCCTTTATCTGGTTTGTCCACATGAAAAAAGCTGATGTTTTAAGTGTTGAAGTGTCTGCTTGAAGTGCTCACTCACGTCTTGCATTTGAGAAAAAAGCAGCTCGTAACGAAGGTAATGAGGAGTAGGTCAGACTGGTGGGGTCAACAATTAAGAAATATTCTGCTTTGACTAATTTTCAGAGAATAAACTCTCCACAAGGACATGAAATAACAAGACTACTTGAGGACATTTAAATGAAGCAGGAAAAGGTTTTTATGAAGACCAGAGCTAATGATGATGGGGAAAAATAAATAATTCATGCAGATATGTAGCTCTCAACCTCTGTATTGGGGACAGAGAGGAAGGATGACATGCAACAAAGGTGCAGGTGTCTTTAACCACTAAACCAGCACAACACCGGTCACATTTACCTCCTGTTGCTTATTTCAGAAAGAATTTATCACTCAAGCAATGATTGAGGTCATTTTAGAGAAACTAAAGCAGCTGTTCCAATTTTTGGAGTGATTCAACATGCTGTTTGAAGTTTTTCAAATGTGATGCATCTCTAGCCAGAGCAACTGAAATACACATTCAGCTCACTGGATGGCATTTGAGTCTGGCATAGCACTCATTAAATATGACTTTGTAACATACACGTAAATTGTCACATGAGTAGTTGTGTTGCTTTATGTTGTTCCAAAAATTGCAAGTCACTGCTGACAATTAAATTATGCACAATTAACTGTTTGGTAGAGTGTTCTTTTAAAGACTTACCTCAATTTCCTTCTTGGTGAGTTCTGAAGCCATGTAATTAACCCCCGGCTCTCGCAGTGGAAACAGCCTTAAAGTGGGAAACACAAAATAACATCTAATGAAATCTTACTCAGTGAAGATGGCGCCAGCTGTCCCTGCAACTCTTTATAACCCCCAACATAAAATATATTCAACTGGTGGTGCTTCATCTCACTAAAAACACTAGAGATGTTCTGATACCATTTTTTCCTTCCCCATACAGATAACTGAACTGGTAATAGGGCTATACCAATACACGTATTCATACTGAACCGTTTGGTACAAGGCTTTCGATTTGGTGCGCATAGCAAACCAACCAATATGTTGAACGATCCCTTTACATTTGTAAAGTAAAATCTGCAGCTTAAACTGTGTTAAATATAATGTTCTCAGCACCACTGCGCTCTACAAGGAAGCCTGAAGGCAGCCCATACGACACAACAAGCAACATACTGTCTACACCTCCCATCCCCAAACCATACTCTCTACTCCAGTGAGACACACTGGGAGACACACTATACTAAGCTAATTTGTTGCAAGATGGTTAGTGACGCCATTATCAGACCAGAAACAGAAGATTGTCCAATAACCTACAGGTCTGGTGTTTGGAGCCCCTTTGATTTCTCTGAATTATGACGATGATGGTGAGAGATAGTGGTGGATAAAAACACATAAAGCTAAAGAACAAGCCACCGCGCAGTTACAGACTCTCCTTGGCAGCTAAACCAGTAGCACAGTAACACACAAGACCCCCGAGCTGAATCATGGGCTGCTGCTGCGCAGTGCCAGACTCTCCTTTGCAGCTAACACAGTCTATGGTTGCATAGCACACACACCCCAAACCAGGGAACAAGAGCCAATGCGTGGCTACATCCTCTCGTTCAAGCAGCTACAGTTATCACAAATGCACACACCCCTAAGCAGTTAGCAGTAACTACTGGTGGGCCGAGTAGCCAATTGGGCCAGAAAGACTGAATGGTGGGTTAATGATGGCTGTTTAGCTCGTGTTTATATGACTGTGGCATTCAACAGAGATGTTCATTCATGTATTTATTCAACTGAAAGAGCTTAGAGAGCTTGTGGAACGGAGCAAACTCACTGCCAACACACAATGGGCAAAACAAACAACACTGATACTATGCACTGTAATGTCAGTAGTTATATGGTATCTATTTAGTAGGGGAGGAGTTGTTATGGGTGGTTCCAGTGCATCACTGAGCAGGCTTTTAGGCCCGCCCAAAAATCCCTGTACATGGAAATGATGAACAACAGTTCCAAGTCACACTTTTCACATATTCAACAAGTATTTTCTAACAACTCACTGATTTTGCTTTACGCTTGACTTTAACACGCCCATTTCAGCCAAACTGTAATTTCTGCTTTGTACAAAAAAATCCCACAAAAGCTCAAATTATGTTACTTTTCATACATTTAAAATTTGTAAAACCAAGGAACTGACTCTGGCATTTCAACTTTTTGCAGTACATACCGAACCATGACACTACGGTATCGTATCAAACTGAACTGTGAATTCTGTGATGCGTTACACCCCAAACTGCTAACTGTGTTTCTAGGTTTCTGTGTTCTGGATTTAGTGGGCGGGCCTTAAATCATAGCTGCGTTACGTAACAGAGCTATCCCTGTTACAAACACGCCCCCTGAGGCTGTAGCAGTATAAACAGAGGGAATCGCCTTGTTGTTTACAAATACTTCCGGGTAGAAAACCAGCAGAGTTTGGAGATATATATATATATCACGTTTAGACTAATCTGATGTTTGCAAAGTCTATAAACACAATGATTGAACAAACATTACTATTTCTGTGTGCACGTTTTGTAATTAATAACATGGTTATCGTAGATTGGCTGGGCTAACCGTTAGCTGTTAGCGGTGTCTGTAATAACTCAGTAACTCAAACAGTTCGTGAAAAAAATATTTTTTCCAGCAGATGTTTTAGTTACAACATGATTGAGCTAGCAAAGCGGTTTTTGTTGCTATGTGTGGTATTTATTCAGTTTTGGGAAATCACGATGTCTAGAAAACATCAGTGGCTTCAGCTGACAGCAGCAAAGCTAACATCAGGACGTCATCTGTTAAAAGCCTCCCGTTGTCGGATACGACATGAAACTATTCCCGTTAGCTCAATCATGTTGTAACTAAGACATCCGCTGGAAAAAATATTTTCAGTCAGTGGAGCCAAACCGACACTCTCCCTCCCTGGATTACATCCTCCCGTTCGCCAGCTGCAGGTGTGGGGTTACTTCCTTGTACAGTACAGGGAGGTGGCTTCCCTCCCGCTAGTGGGCGTGGACTGAATGGCTGCAGCCTGGAGTCATGAAACAAGAGGCTGCAGACATACCCCTCCTGAACCGCCCCCAGCATTTCACAGCAGATAGAAGTGCTTGCTTTTCCATGATTTTGAGAGCTAATTTTATATACTTAGCGATTTTTTTTAATCTTTCAAATTTGGCTCAGTGATTAATGACACATATTTCTGTGATGTGACAAACTTATAACAGACATTTTTTGCTGCTTTACACAGACTTTAAACTAAAACATGAAAAAATACATGCAGAGAATGGCTGCCATAGAAATTACTAAATTGCTGCCATTTTGCTAAGACAACACTATATACCGATAATCAGTTCTTTGCCGCTCTAAAACTGTAGTGGCCAGTGGCTGTACGCCACAACGTGCTGGGAGAACTGGAAGAATAGCAGTTTCATTTTGGTATGAAACTATTTTAAAGTTTAATAATAAATTGTGGTATGAAGTGCATAGACTTGTGAACTCGCCGACACCTGTTCAAGCATTTTAGGCAGTTGCGATACTGGTATGAGAACAATTCCATAAAACACCATATGCAATGCTGTAATTTTACAAAATACTTTATAAAAAAGTCTTCAATTAGCAAGCACACCCTAACACTGTCAACAAGACATCCTTCTGGGTATTACTGGAAGTTAGTGTCAGCTTAATTATTGTTCCTTTTTTTATTGTATCTGTAATAAAAGTGTCAGCTGAGATGAAAAGAGAGATCATTTTACCTTGATCTTTTTGTTTTGAACAAAGCACTTCAGCAGAATACTTGCACATTATGCACAAAGCATAATGTGTGCTATTCTATCACTACAGGTGCTTTGAAAGCCGTCAGCCAGCTGTTGACTTTTTTTTAAAATCACAGTTGATTGTTCAGCGGTGCTTTTTATTTAACTTTTCCTGCCTTGAACTGCCGATAACGCAGCAGACAATACCATTCAAGCTAATATTAGAGCACATGTTTTGCAATGAAGACAAGCACACCTTGCACTGCATTTTGTTTTATTAGCACACTCCTTCCTAAAAACTGTGTAACATGCTTCCGCTTGCAAGGTCACCACATAAGATGACATTAGCTTTTCAACCCTCCTTGTTGACACAGCCACAACACACACTGCAACACATAGACAATACATACCACTGAATGTACGAGTGCACTCTCTCCAGTCTTTTGTAATCATTTTTCCATTCCTTGAGAAAAGATTCAATGTAGACATCTGTGCCAGATGATAAAGAAAAGCATCATGTCACTGCACGCAGACTTTCCCAAACACTGATAATATATTAAAAGAATATCTAAATATATTACCATCAGGAGCAGAGGGAAATTTATTGAGATAAAACTGCAAGTTGTTCATTTTGTCTTCTGAGCACTCATCATCTGTAAGATTCTGTCAAAAAACAAACAAATGAAAACGCAGAATTAACCTCTCTCTCAGTGGAGGTGGACAAGATATATTTGGTTATATTACTTAGCTGATACTCACTGGATATCCTCTTCTGTAGTTCTGCATGTCCTTTGCTGCCCTCATGTTTCTGGGCGTATGATGCCACTGACAATAAAAGTGAAAGTGAAATTAGCCTCAATCCAACCTCTCATCCACATATTATTGTGGGGGAATAAGAGCTGATGCATCCTAATTTAAAACACCTATTACAGGTGGTGTTATCATTAGTAGTAACCTGTAATGTATCTAATGACAGGTGGAGAAAAGAGGAGGCTGGCATCATGCTAACGTGCAACAGTGCAAGTTAGACATGCAGGGCCAAGCTAATCCATTCCCCACCCCCGGAAAAGGGCTCAACACTTAATTTATCATTTTCATTTCAACTAAAAATTACACTCTGTGCTCAGTATTAACTGTCAGCACCCTAACACTGATATTTCAACGTAACACCTGTGAGTTATAGCCCGTCAAAGTAAGCTAACGTCAGCTGCTAGCTAGGCTAGTTAGCAAGCCTGCAGCACAGATGCATAAAGCTATCATTAGCTCCCCAGCCGTGGCAGCATTAGCTAACGCCTGGCCGGGTCCACAGGCAACGAGTTTAAGTGAACATATTCCCCGCCATGACATGATTTAAGTACGTCACAGTTTTGCTGAGTGATGAAGAACGCGCTTACATTTAATGTCCAGCCAGATTTGTTTTTGTCTTGACATGACCGACGGGTTTGGCTCTCTCCGGCCGGGTCGTCTCCATCACTCTCTGTGTCCCAGGTCGAGTCGTACTCACACACACAGTCGTCCTCCATCATTAAAATCACCGTAATGCGACTAGCTAAGGCTGAATACACGTGTAACCTGGTTTAGCACTATAACCGGGCATGAATCGAGTTAAACTTGCATGTTCAGGTTAGACGAGGACGGCCCTGACCATCCGTCTTTCCAGCCTACCATCGTCAGACAGCGGCACCGTTGGCGGCTGCAGTACTGATGCTGCATTCAAGTGCTCCCACTCTCAGTCGTAATTATCACACATCACAAAACTTGACACGCATTTGCGTTTGCGATTACCTTAACGAAGTCAGTATTTCAAGTCAGTCAGTCTTTAAAACATAGCTTCTATGTGTTTTGGCTTTAATACACTCTCCTGGCAGATGTTATCATACACATTGACTCCATTCAGGGTTTATGTGGCACTTAATGAGGTTGTTAATGTGTTTTGTATCAGACAATTCAATTTTCCGACACATCCGGAAGGCAACACACTTGCTGTGTTGGTTGATGGTGATAAAAACTGCAAACCAGATGATATGAGTCAGGCAGACTATCTTAGGTACAGGAAAACTCTTTCACTTCACTGTTATATAAGGACAAACAACAGCCATGCTATGATAGACGAACTGATACCTTATAATATATAAAAATAATAATGATAATGATCTTTTGATGTCATGATGTAACCAATTATGTAATAGCCAGTCTATTGAAAACATTTTTATAGCTTGATATATTTGTCTGTCTGTTAGCAAAATGTCTCACTAAGATTTGATGGACAAATAGCCAGTGGCCTCTTGCCCAAAGTTTTTGATGAAAATTCAGATCCGAGAAATCTGTCAGTAATATAACACGTACATTATATCGGTTTAAATATTACAAAAAAAATCAGGAATCCAGCAACTCTGCTGTTCTGCTGTATTGTAACTGACTTATCTGTGGGGATGTTTTTGATTTTTAGGAGTGCACATACACATGGGCGATAATGAGATAATGTAGATTTTGTGAGCTCACAAACTGCTGAAAACCTGTGCATTAATGGTCCAGGGTGGAGGATTTAGGGGCATCTATAGGTGGGAATGGTGTATAATAGTCATAACTATGTTTTCATTTGTTTACAGTCACCTGAAAATAGGAACCGTTGTTCTTGTTACCTTTGACCGGTTTCTATCTGTGTAAGGAGCAGTTCCCCTTCCTCAAAATCCACTGTGTTGTCTACAGTAGCCCAGAATGTACAAACCAAACACTGGCTCTCGACAGGGCCGTTTGCGTTTTTGCAGCAGTCACTGTAGTTCTCCCATGCGTTTGTCACACAGGAGAAGCTTCACTTCTGCAACCCCTCAGTTGGATGCCGCTAAATCCTACATACTAGACCTTTAGGAGAATTTGAAATTCTCAACATACAATTAAGGATAAAGTTAGCTGATGCAAGTAGAGATTTTGGCAACTCTGTTTAGTATTGTTAAGTTTATGTGCAGAAGTCATGTGCTTTTAATAATAAAAACAAAACATCAAAAGACAATCAGATCATATGCAAGTGAATGCAGCAAAACAGAAAAAGAATCGTAAATTAATTTTCAAAAGTGAGATTTTAATGAGATCCAAAGGAAGGAAGTGTTTGCTGCTCTTATCTCCTCAGGGAGACAGGTCATTATTTTATTTATCTTGATTTAACATTTTAAATATCTGAAGATCATAATGACTCAAAGTTGTGATTAGTTGTGTTCTGCTTATGTATATGTTTTTTTCAATTGATTAACACTTATGTCAAGAAAATATGAAAAATGGCCTTCATATTTTCCTAACGTTTCCTAATGTCTTCAAAGTACTTGTTTTGCTTGACCAGCAACCCCAAACCTCAAATCTGTCTTTCTGCTATAAGATGCAATAAATCTTCTCATTGAAGCTTGAACAAGAAAATGTTTTGTACTTTTTGTCCATTTCCATCCGCTGCACCCCAGACGTCCCTCTGTCCAGCAACACTTTCCAGCTCCTCTTTGGGGACCCCAAGGCATTCCCAGGCCAGATGAGATATGTAATCCCTCCAGCATGTTCTGGGTCTTCCCCAGGGCCTCCTACCAGTGGGATGTGCCCGGAACACCTCCAACAAGGGGCACCCAGGAGGCATCCTGATCAGATGCCCGAACCACCTCAACTGACCTCTTTCCACGTGAGGGAGCAGCGGCTCTACTCCAAGCTCCCTCCAGATGTTGGAGCTCCTCACCCTATCTCTAAGGCTGAGCCCAGCCACCCCACGGGGGACACTTGTGTCCGCAACCTCATTCTTTTGGTTCACTACCCAGAGCTCATGACCATAGGTGAGGGTTGGGACGTTGGGACTGGTGTGAAGAGGTTGAGATGAGAGTCAGCACCTTCAAATCTGAGGCCATGGTTCTCTGATGGAAACTGGTGGATCCCTCTGGAGCGAGTTTCTGCCCCAAGCGAGGGAGTTCAAGTATCTTGGGGTCTTGTTCACGAGTGAGGGTAGAAAATTAAACCAATAATATTAAACCATCCATCCATCCATTTTCTAACCGCTTTTCCTCTTGAAGGTCGCAGGGTGCTGGAGCCTATTGCAGCTGACATTTGGCGAGAGGCAGGGTACACCCTGGACAGGTCACCAGACTATCACAGGGCTGACACATAGAGACAGACAACCATTCACACTCACATTCACACCTACGGGCAATTTAGAGTCACCAATTAACCTGCATGTCTTTGGACTGTGGGAGGAAGCTGGAGTACCCGGAGAAAGCCCACGCTGACACAGGGAGAACATGCAAACTCTGCACAGAGGGGCTCCCGCACCCGGGTTCGAACCAGGAACCCTCTTGCTGTGAGGCAACAGTGCTAACCACCACACCACTGTGCTGCCCTATTATTAAACTAATCAACCAATTTTTAAAACTATATGTTGATAGTTGATTAATCCACTGATCATTTAAGCTTTATTTAAGATTGTGTTTATAGGGAGCTGCTGGTTGGGAAAATATACATGAACTGGGAAAGTTACATATAAAATTCCCAACTATACTCTGAAAGTTAATGCATAAAATTTATACCCAAAATGATGAATATAGGCATTTTTGTGGCTGGGGGACAGCTAGGCACATATGAAAACAGATCATATTCAATATTGCACAATATAAATAACATTAAACATTTAATTTTCTGTATTCTGGTGAATTTAATGCACCAATTTGTGACATTTCTGCATTAATTTATGGTGTAAATGTCTTTAATTTTGTCAAAATAACAGTCCTCTGCTACTTTAAAGTGTTTATTTGGGAGACAAATGCACGTTCTCATCATTGAGGGGAACGTGTCCTCTGCATCCTTGAAATCTACAGCTATGTTTATATATACACGAAGAAAATCGACCATCTGACCTCATGTCAATAAAATATAAGATGGCATCTCTATGTTACAGCCTTTAGAGACACTACAGCTTTTGCTTTCTCACACAGTCCAATTTATCTAATAATCCAGTCTGAGTCCTCATTAGCAGTGTCTTACAGTCTTGTATAATATCCTCAGTGTTATGAGTCGGATTCAGTTTCATACTGTACGGACCAGCAGCACAAAGAGAGATTCAGAGGCGTGAACGTATAATTTGACCATGATGTCCATCCTTTGACAGTAATTGGACAGATGCATTTATACAGGGGAGTATATCGCCATTAGAAGATATAAATAGAATCGTGTATTATCACAGGGGGATTCAATGTTGAATGGCCGCTGGTGTGGGTTTCTATTTTTGGTCTTAGTTACTGTGGAAACCAGCGGGCTCTGCAGGCATCCAGTATTTGCTGTTGCTATTTAGTGCCTGTGCTTTATGAAATGGATTCCCTGTTGCCTTGTTCTCAGCGAGTTCAATACAGATGGAAAGATTTGTTAATATATAAAGAGATTATGATAATGATGTAAACGCAGTCTGGCTGCGTTTATAGGAGATTTGATAGGAATTTAGTGACTATAGTACGAGCTTACTACTCGACCTCCCCACGTGTAAGTATGAGCGTCCTGCTTCCTGTAGAATATCCCTGAAGGATCCTGACGGGTGGAGTCGAGGGGTCATCTGGGGGAATTCTGCTCACCAGTTGCACCAGCTAATTGTAAAATTCACGACTAGGTTTGTGTGTAAAGTTCTCCCCAAGTTCACTAGCCTCAAACTGATGTACTAAACCTAAGAGTTTAGTAATGTGCTGAAACATTTGTAGCACTGTTCAATCTAAAGCAATCGATTAAACAGGAAGTCAGTGTAGCAACATAAACTGGAACAAACATAACTCCACAAATAACAGTTTTAGGTGGGCCAAACATGCATAAAATAATTGCCATTTCTTTGTCAATCAAAGAACATGGTGTGAAAATGTTGGCATTGGACATTTCTGCAAACCACGAATACACAACATTTGTACATTTCATATGTATCATATCAACGTTACTAAAGTGACGTGGTATATGAGCTGACTTTATCATAGGGAGGTGGAGGGAATGGTGGATGGTATGACACCTTGCTGTGACGCCTGCCAAGCTGCAGACCACTGTTTGAGACCAACAAACAAACAAACAGAAAATGTTAGTGACCCAGCACCTGTCATTTTTCCAGCAAGGCTAGTGCCATGAAAATTCACAAATCACTATTACCAGCTGTAATATTGAAATATTGTACACACAAATGGGCGGCTGTGGCTCAGGAGAAAGAGTGGGTCGTCAAGTAATCGGAAGATCATCGGTTCGATCCCCGGCCCCTCCAGTCCACATGTTAAAGTATCCTTGAGCAAGATACTGAATCCCATATTGCTCTCAATGGCTGTTCCATCCACCCATTGTGTGTGAGTGTGTTAGAGCTGAGGAGCAGGTGGCATCATATATGGTAGCCTCAGCCGCCAATGTGTGAATGTGTGTGTGAATGGGTGAATGTGACTCATAGTGTAAAAAGTGCTTTGAGTTATTGGAAGACTAGAAAGGTGCTATACAAGTGCAGGTCCATTTACCAGGTTCAAAAATGCATCCAATAATTGAAATCCCTTGGGCCAATCTGCAAAATAAGCACCTTCACTTTTGGTACTTTAAAGGAAGTATTTGCCACCTCCTACGTCTGTGTCCAATCAGTGTTGATGGTAAACATAGTCAGTTTGTCAGTGCATGAAGTATTGACAAACGCACAGTCAATACATCCACATATGAGTCAGGTGC